GAGGAGGAGGAGGAGGGAGGAGGGAGGAGGAGGAGGAAGAAAAAGGAGGAAGGAGGAGGAGGAGGAGGACGGGTCGCCTACGCCCTTCGATATATCAGCGCCCAGCTGTGACTGTCTGCCGAGGCCCTTCACCACGACGCAGGGGGCGCCACGAGGGCCGCCACAGGCGGCGCGCCGCCCGTGGAGCTGGACGAGGCAAACACACGCCCTGGCGAACACGCGCCCCGGGGGTTTCGTGCGTGTTTTTTTTCGCCAAATGATCAAGGATGCTCCTCGATGGTCTTCGCCGAAGGAAACATGCACACGTCCGAGCGATGCCAGGTGACGGGGGGGGCGGGGGCACGGGCGAGAGGATCTCGAAACTCGAGGTTCGAGTGTCGGCGCTTCCGGGCGTGATGCTTCAGGGCCCCCGCCTGCACGGTTTCCCGGGGGCCGCAGGCGACCCGAGGAGGAGGAGGAGGAGGAGGTGGAGGAGGGGGAGGGGAGGATGGAGGAGGAGGAGGAGGACGAGGAGGAGGAGGAGGAGGAGGAGGAGGAGGAGGAGGAGGAGGAGAGAGGAGGAGAGAGGAGGAGGGAGGAGGAGGAGGAAGGAGGAGGAGGAGTCTGAGGAGGAGAGGAAGACGGGTCGCCTACGCCCTTCGAAGAAACCCTCCGCACCCGCTCCCGCACGGCTTCCACAAGGCCCTCGCTCCGGGCTCGCGGCACGCCCGGGCACCGCCCGCGGTGCCACCGAATAATCTGCACCTCTGGCAGCAGAGGCAGGACCACTGTGGCTCCACGCCACACGCCGCTGCCATCTAAAATTAAGTCGGGCGCGTCCCCCTATAGGCGGATTTGACGAAACATAAGCAATACTAAAAAACATACCCCCAAAATGCTCACGACATAGAGTAACATCGTTCCAGACTATTGTTTGACGATGTTTGAACATTCCTCTTGTAGAGGAACAGGCCCGACTAAACCTTGCACAGGCTCGCAAATCTCACATCCACCCAAATCCTTCAGATACCAGCCTACGGGGTGCAGCGGAGAAGGCGAATGGCGCGGCCATGCTCCAGGACTCGATGCCTGACAAATTTATCGAGAACTTCTCCTACCTCCGTGGACACACAACATCACGTCGGAGGCCACGGGCATGACCCGCGCCTGTGCCTACCTGAGACCCCCAGGCGCTCTTGGTGGTTCCTGGGTCGGGCCCGCGCTAACATGGAGTATGGATCCGTGGATCTGGCGCGCGGCAAATCCACGGATTGGGGCAAAAAAATTGTTTTTTTATTCTGGCCGATAACGCTCGTTACCCGGGGGGGGGGGGGGGGCGGTCGTGCTCCCCGGGTAACGGTAACGCTTGGGCTGGGCGGGGTATGGCGAGGCAGGGGCGCTCTGCGATCGCCATAGTATGCGCGCGAGCAGCACTCTCTGCCTGAGAGCACCACAGTGGCTTGCGATTCGAGTACAAGCGCAAAGCCCGCCGCGTGGTCCCGGCACCACGCCCGCGCCCGCGCGCGCGACGACGATGATCGACGAGCGACGAGCGACGAGGTCGACGACGACGACGACGACGTTTGCCGCCTGTTTCGGCCTCCGGAGGCCGTTTTCGAGCGCCGTCGACGACGACGACGACGACGACGACGACGACGACGACGACGACGACGACACTGAAGCAGGCATGCTTTCTCGGAAGGCACCCTCCTGGGCCCGACTGGGCCCCCCTAGCAGCATTCAACCATGAACGCCCGCGCTGGGGTCGCCGCCGCGTCGATGCAATTCCGCGCCAGCCCCGCTATGTGGGGACCTCCAGGCTGCGAGCAAGTTGGATGACAAACTGTCTTTCCCCATCCTCCTCCTCCACCTCCTCCTCCTCCTCCTCCTCTCCTCCTCCTCCTCCTCCTCCTCCTCCTCCTCCTCCTCCTTATCCCCGCCATCGCGGTCTGTGATCACCGCGCCACGCCTGCGGTCAAGGCGCCATGCGTGTGAGCACCGGCGACCGCGGCGGCACACATGTGAGCGGGCGCTAGAGAACCACCAGCGTGCCTGCGAACGCCACAACGCGCGCGTATACAACAGCATGCCAAACCGTGTCGGCACCGAAAACGTTCGCGAGCAGCGCAACTCGTCCTCGAACACCCCGCACAAGCCTGCGTGTGCCATGGTAGCACACGAGAACCGCAGTGTACCTGTGAGCAGCACAGCATGCCTTCGGGCACCAGCATGTTAGGGGGGAAGGCCATAGAGCAGACGACGACGACGACGACGACGACGACGACGACGACGACGACGACGACGACGACGACGTTTGCCGCCTGTTTCGCCCTCCGGAGGCCGTTTTCGGGCGCCGTCGACGACGACGATGGCGACGACGACGACGACGACGACGACAACGTTTTTCGCCTTTTTCGGACTCCGGAGGCCGTTTTTCGGGCGCCGTCGACGACGACGACGACGACGACGACGACGACGACGACGACGACGGCAACGAGGACGACGACGACGACGACGACGTTGTTTTTGCGCCTTTGTCGGACTCTGGAGGCCGTTTTTCGGGCGCCGTCGGCGACGACGACGACGATTCGAGTACAAGCGCAAAGCCCGCAAGCACCAGCATCGCGCATGCGAGCGCCGCAATGGCCTGCGAGCGCCCACAGTGCGCCTGCGACCACCACACCACAGTGCGCATGCCTTCGGGCACCAGCATGTTGGAGGGGAAGACCGAGACCCCCCCCGCGTACGAGCGGTACCGGGGGGGGGGGGGGGGGGGGAGAGGCCCGGGTAACGAGCGTTACCCCCCAGAGGATAAAAAAACAATCTCAAACTCTCCCTGAACTATCCGGCGACGGGCCGAGCCGATCCTACACGGAAGCGGGACCCGTCGCTAATCCGCGCGCCCAAATCCATGCGTTCGTCTCCCCTCGGCGGCGAGCGACGGGGGGGAACCGAGGCGCAGAAGGCCATCTCGGAAGGCGGCGGGACTTCTCAGAAACCCTCGCGCCTTTTTACCTAACAGCTTGTTCTGATAGGTTTCTAGTAGGGTCAAAAGAGAGCAGCAGATGACTCCACAGGGGGGTCTGGGCGGGTGCCGGACAGGGTGCCGCAGAAGTCGTTTTAAGCCAACAGTCACACACTTCGTGCTCTTCGACCTCCCAGAACTCCATTCCCGGGCCACATTCTGAATGCCCGGAGCCAACTGTAGGCCACTTCGTGCTCTTCGACTTCCCAGAACTCCATTCCCGGGCCACATTTTGAATGCCCGGAGCCAACTGTAGGCCACTTCGTGGTCTTCGAGTCCCAGAACTCCATTCCCGGGCCACATTTTTGCCCGGAGCCAACTGTAGGCCACTTCGTGCTCTTCGAGTTCCCAGAACTCCATTCCCGGGCCACATTTTGAATGCCCGGAGCCAACTGTAGGCCACTTCGTGTCTTCGAGTTCCCAGAACTCCATTCCCGGGCCACATTTTGAATGCCCGGAGCCAACTGTAGGCCACTTCGTGTCTTCGAGTTCCCAGAACTCCATTCCCGGGCCACATTTTGAATGCCCGGAGCCAACTGTAGGCCACTTCGTGGTCTTCGAGTTCCCAGAACTCCATTCCTGGGCATGATTTTGAATGCCCGGAGCCAACTGTAGGCCACTTCGTGTTCTTCGAGTTCCCAGAACTCCATTCCCGGGCCACATTTTGAATGCTGAGGCAGGCTGATGCTGAGGCTGCAGGCTGAGGCTGAGGCAGGCTGAGGCTGAGGCCGAGGCTGAAGGCAGACTGAGGCTGAGGCTGAAGCAGGCTGAGGCTGAGGCTGAGGCAGGCTGAGGCTGAGGCTGAGGCAGGCTGATGCTGAGGCAGGCTGAGGCTGAGGCTGAGGCTGATGCAGGCTGAGGCTGAGGCAGGCTGAGGCTGAGGCCGAGGCTGAAGGCAGGCTGAGGCTGAGGCTGAGGCTGAGGCTGAAGCAGGCTGAGGCTGAGGCTGAGGCAGGCTGAGGCTGCAGGCTGAGGCTGAGGCTGAGGCTGAGGCTGTGACTGCGACTGCCGTTGCCACTGCGACTGTCATCGCGAATGCGACTACGACTGCGAGAACAGCAGAATTCTACAACTGGATTCTCATCTGAATCTTGAGGGGAATGCTTCCAGATATGCTCCTACACATCGCTGTTAGGTTGCTTTGCCGGGATAATGAGCAGTTTTTTCCCGGCGTCCCCGGGGAAGGCGGGGGGGGGGGGGGGGGCGAGCCTCCTGGGAAGAGCCGCCCCATTCTCACCTCCCTCCTCGCTCGCCGCTCCTCCCTGCCGCTGCCCCTCCCCCACCTCTCTTCCCCTGCTCCTCCCGAGAGGGGCGACTGCGAAGGAGGGGGGGGAGCAGCGAGGGAGGAGGGACGGAGGAGGAGGAGGTTGCACGAGGAGTTACGAGGATGTCTGTGTATGATGCGAGGGGATATGATGACGAGGACTGTGAGGAGGAGGTGGGCAACAGGATCATGGAGGGGGGGTGGACTGTTTTCTTTGATAAGCAAAGCGTGCTAAGAGGATGGGGGACGGAGGGGGGAGGACGGAGGAGGAGGGAGGAAGAGGAGCGGGACGACCTCACATCCCACTAAAGCTCCCTGCAAGAGAACTCCTCCAAACCTCCCGAAACCACCGACAACCTCCCTCCACGCCCTCCCTACTCCAACTCCTCGACGCTGACGACGTCGACGCTGGCAAAAACGTCGACGGACGACGACAACGGCGACAACGACGAAAACAGCCAGACAGACAGACAGACAGACAGACGACAGACGAGGACAACGAACGCCGACGACGGCGGCGGTATCGGTGCCAACGACACCAACAACGACGACGAAGCCGACGTCGGCGGCGGTTGCGACGGACGACGACGACGGCGACGGCGGCGGCGGCGGCGGCGACGGACGACGACGACGACGACAACGACGGAGACGACGACGACGGACGACGGACGACGGCATCCACGGCGGCGGCGGCGGCGACGATGACGATCAACACGACGACGGGGAACAAGCCTGCTGCGACAGGAGTTGGCGGGGGCCGCGGTCCATGCGGCGCCGTCGGGGGAGGGGGCGCCCGACGAGGGGGGGCAAGTCTCGCGGAGGCGCCGCTGGCCGCGTGCCGCCAGTCGCTGCCGCAACCCCCTCCACCCGAAGAGGCAATCGCCGCTGCCGCCGCCGCCGCCACCGCCGCCGTCGTCGTCGTCGTCGTCGTCGCCGCCGCCGCCGCCGCCATCGTCGTCGTCGTCGTCCTAGTCGTCGTCCTAGTCGTCTCGTCGTCGTCCTAGTCGTCGTCGTCGTCGTCGTCGTCTTCGTCGTCCTCGTCGTCGTCGTCGTCGTCGTCGTCGTCGTCGTCGTCGTCATCGTCATCGTCGCCGCCACCGCCGCCGTCGTCGTCCGTCGCCACCGCCACCGTCGTTTTCGTCGTCGTTGTCGTCACCGTCGTCGGTTCGGAAATTCTGGGCAATCGCAGCGCGTAGACACGGCACAAGCAACTTTGCAAGAATGGATCCTCGAGCGGGGTCCAGACCCGAAGAGGCAATCGTGTACGCCGTCGCCGCCGCCGTCGTCGATTCGGAGGTTTTGGGCAATCGCAGCGCTGGATGCGGCACGAACAACTTTGCAAGGTTGGACCCCACTGGGCGGGATCCAGGAGGTAATTTACAAATAGATGTTGACTGAAGTGGGGAGGTCCGATAGCCATAGTGAGGGGGCCGATCGGTCGTACGGTCTTACACTGTCTCTCGGTCCGTCGCTGCGTTGGGGTTCCACGGTGCTGGGCCATGTTAAATTATGAATTTGACGTCGTTGCGCCCCGGCCCGCGACCCAATCCGCCACCAACCTCGCGACCCACCGGCGATCCACCCGCGACCCAACCGCCACCCACCCACGACCTACCCGCGACCTGGCCGCCAACCACCCGCCAAATTTCCCGCGACGCGCCCACGACCGCTCGCCATCCACAACCGCAGGGCGCCTCTACGCATCGGTGGAACAAAAAAAGTAGCCGCCTTCGGCGGGCAATATGCGTCGACAAATGACAGAAAGGCGTCGCCCAGGAAATTGAGGCACAGGGGACAGGCAAGTCGCAGAAGGTCGATTCCATTCCTTGATCCCCTCCCTGCAAAGGGGGGGAGATCTCGGGGGGGGATCCTGGGGGGGTGGGGGGGGCCCCAGGTTAGCATTCCACCCCCCCCCCCTCGGCACGATCGAAATGGGTACGGAAAGAATGGGCATAATGCCGAACAGCATGTCCTGTTCATTTTGAACAGGACTCGCTGTCCACGCCGCCGCGGCCCGTGGCCAGAAGGCCGCCCGACAGCGGCCGCTGTTGGTCTGGGACAACATTTGTTGTTGGGCATTCTACCCATTTCTTCCGTACCCACTTCGGGCGCCCAAATCGCCGGGGTTTCCCGTCGGGTACTTGGGCGCCCGAACTATCGGGGGTAACTAGGGTCCGGGGTAAGTCGGGTTCGGAATCCCGAATTACCCTTTGACGTACCCAACCCATTTGTATCATGGGAAACGAGGAGTTGGCCGAAACTTGCATGGACAATCAAATTGCAGGATCCGTTGTTTGATATGTGATCTACTTGGGACACGCGACTATGGCATGATGCGCAGGAGAACCATACAAGAACGAGGGGCGACAACTACAGGCTCGAAGAGGACATGGGGAGTCGGGAACAAAGAGCAGGAGAAAGACGTGCGGGAAACCCACTGTGCTGTGCCCCTCAGCAGCCCTCGAAAGTGGCGACAGTTTCGCAGATCGCAGCCCCCCAGGGATGGCGAGGTCTAATATGAGTCTGCGGTGAGTACCCACTGTGCTGGGCCCCATCAGCAGCCCTCGAAAGTGGCGACATACTCACAGATCGCAGCCTCCCAAGGATGGCGAGGTCTAGTATGAGTCTGCGGTGAGTACCCACTGCGCTGGGCCCCTCAGCAGCCCTCGAAAGGGGCGACAGTTTCACAGATCGCAGCCCCCCAGGGATGGCGAGGTCTAATCTGAGTCTGCGGTGAGTACCCACTGTGCTGGGCCCCTCAGCAGCCCTCGAAAGTGGCGACAGTTTCACAGATCGCAGCCCCCCCCCAGGGATGGCGAGGTCCCATTTGAGTTTGCGGTGAGTACCCACTGTGCTGGGCCCCTCAGCAGCCTTTGAAAGTGGCGACAATTTCACAGATCGCAGCCCCCCAGGGATGGCGAGGTCTAATTTGAATCCGCGGTGAGTACCCACTGTGCTGGGCCCCCCAGCAGGCCTCGAAAGTGGCGACAGTTTCACAGATCGCAGCCCCCCAGGGATGGCGAGGTCTAATTGAGTCTGCGGTGAGTACCCACTGTGCTGGGCCCCTCAGCAGCCCTCGAAAGTGGCGACAGTTTCACAGATCGCAGCCCCCCAGGGATGGCGAGGTCTAATTTGAATCTGCGGTGGTACCCACTGTGCTGTGCCCCCCAGCAGGCCTCGAAAGTGGCGACAGTTTCACAGATCGCAGCCCCCCAGGGATGGCGAGGTCCATTGTGCCCCCCAGCATCCGCGGTGAGTACCCACTGTGCTGGGCCCCCCAGCAGGCCTCGAAAGTGGCGACAGTTTCACAGATCTCAGCCCCCCAAGGATGGCGAGGTCTAAATTGAGTCCGCGGTGAGTACCCACTGTGCTGGCCCCTTCAGCAGACCTCGAAAGTGGCGACAGTTTCACAGATCGCAGCTCCCCAGGGATGGCGAGGTCTAATTTGAACCCGCGGTGAGTATCCACTGTGCTGGGCCCCCCGGCAGGCCTCGAAAGTGGCGACAGTTTGACAGATCGCAGCCCCCCAGGGATGGCGTGTCCAAGTCGGGAGCCCCAACCGAACCCAAAGGAACGGAAGAGGGCCGAATTGAAAAGAGAGGGGCCTCAAGAACCTCGAGGCCCCACGCGGAGATCAACCCATAGGTCGATCCGAGATCAGCCAAACAGGCCGTCAAACAGTGAAGCCTAGGCCACCACAAGGCCCAGTCCAGACGACAGGGGGCGGCAGGCGGCAGCCTGGGGCAAAGACCCACGGGTGGGGGGAGGCCCCAGGCAAGGCTGGAAGGTCCAGCAGCAGAAGGATTCGACTAATCGGATGATCCCGAGTCAGTCCCACCCCCGTCCACCACCCCGTCCCTCCCCACAGCCGCCGTCTCCTCCGGTCGGAGGGCGGCAGCGACGCGAGAGGGCGCAGCTGAGCTGGATGGGGCGGCCTCTTGGCTGCCTGGACCCGCTGCAGCATCAGCCTCGAGGAGGATGGGCCGCCGCGTTCTGGGCACACGTCCTGCTGACAGGGCTTTAACCTGGGAGCGAACGCTAGCACGAGTGGCTTTATTGACTGGCGGCCCAAGACAATCCTCACGGAGCTTTTTACTATACTTGTCAACCTGCAAACTATAGAGCCCACAGAGTCCACAGATTCCAGCGGGGCCCCAACGAATGAGTTTATGTCCTCTTCCGATGCTTGGGGCCCCAAGACATTGCGAGTTAAAAAGGTTCCTGTAGCTCACAGGGGTAGTGGCGATCCTGAGGCACTTAGAACATCTCACTTGGGCACCGTCCTGAACACACTCATGTTCGGTGAGGGAGAGCTTGGGGGCCTGATCTAACTTGCATTTCTTAACCAGGGGCTCCCCAACCTCCTTGAACATCCTGACCGTGCGGGATGCCATGCACGCCGTGAACTGGGCGATCCTCTTGGACTGGACGATCATCTGCTCATGATGTTCTGCCAGCGTGTCCGCGACCTTCACGCCCATAGCTCCAGCATATGCAAAGAAGTCGGCCCATGCATTCCCATGGGCATGGGCGAGTGATCCACCTGCCTCGATGAAATTCTGAATATCTTTGTGGGAAGGCACCCAGACAAATTCAGAGCGCTGCTGGTCATGACGGCAGAGATGGAAGATCTTGCGCCAGACCTCGGCGTGCAGCGAGCCGCTAGCTTCGAGTTCTGGGCTCCATTTGTTAGCTTCACGTACGAACGACAGGTGATCACTGACAATTAAACCTGGCCGTTCCATCATCATCAACGCTCGGTATCCCGCGCGGCGTTCTCCCCGAGGCACCGTTTGGTCGCGGCCAGGGAGGCCCCCGTACTGAGCTCGAACTGGGATCCCCGTCGACGGACATATCTGAACAATGGCCCATCCGACGCGGCCCAGGGCAGGATGACTGATGTGCATTCCCGAAGCGTCGCAATAAGTAATAGAAGACCAGAGACCATCAGCATCACCCCATGACAGTATCTCTGGGGTCTCATCTGGAAGACGGGGTTGCAAAGGCTCCGTCGGAAGTCCATATGTCAGGTCAAAAGTATCGGGGTCATTCATGTTCTCCTCCACAAGTTTCAACCTGACTTCGCGGAACTCAACTACGTCCTCGGGAATGACCTCGGGGCAGGCATCTGAGAGCTGCAATGTAGCAGGGCAAACGTTCCACTGATGCGAGAGAGTACCTTTGGGAGCACCGCAATATGGGCATTCACGAGACGCCCCGACCCCAAGGTCCACTGACCTGTCGGGACACAAAAGACCTCCAGCCCACAGCTTCCTGAGAGCTCCCCTCATTGGTCCAGCTTTGACAGAAAACAACGCCAGTCTCATGGCCCGTCGCCAAATCTTCTCGTCGCCGATCCGCTCTGGTAGATGGTGAAGGATACGTCCCACCTGGAGCCGATGAATAGATTCCACCAGACGCTTCTCCAGATCTCTGGGAGCAACATACAGTAGCGAATATTGTTGTCCAAGGTCGTCCGAAAAAAGAGCGGGCCCGCTGAACTGCCATCCGATACGAATCAATGTAAGCCAAACTGTCGACAACGGTCCTCGTGCCATGGCCCAAGTCGGCTTGGCATCTTGGAACTTGTCGGATACATACTGCCATGTGTGATGCAGCTCAGCTAGGGATACTCTGCTGTCCCATATAAAGCTATGGTATCTTTTGACAACAAGACTAGTACAATCAAAAACAGGGTCGAATCTGTCATCCCTTTGAGTAGCAAGGTAGAGCGTGAGCGATGCGTTACGGGCAGCTCCAATCATACCGCCCGCGAAAGTGCGCAACTGCTTGAGCACAGTGTCCGGCGCACCACTCACACCCGTGCCGTGCCCCACTGC